GGGCATAAAAGAGGAAGGGGGTAAAGGAGAAGGACAAGGGGAGGGAAGGTGGGGGTATTTGGAGGTAAGGAAATAGGGTTAGAGGGGGGGAGGAAGGTGGAGGAACGTCTCGCGCATTTCTGGTTTTCCGTGCCCACGAATCTGTTTTTTCGATAATATGCTTAATGTTATTCTCAAATTCTCATCAATTTTATTCCTATTTAGCTCTCTTCTTCTGTTTGATTATTAGGCACTTATATGTCTGAACTATATTCTCATTTCTATTTAGCCATCATACAATCTTCTCACCACTAATTTACATACTAATTCCAATATCATTGAAATTATCGTAATTATCATCTTCAATTAAAATCCTAACTAAAATCCTGATATTTTCCCGATATATTCCCAATCATTCGTACGTCAAACATTGGTTTTTCACGATAAACTAATCTGAATGATATTTATTAATACCTGAGAAATGGTAATTAACATGGCTATGATCCGGACGTCCGGACCGCCGTCCAGATGGTCCGGATTTGGTCCGGAATCCGGACGTCCAGTCCAGACGGTCCGGATCTGCCAAATTTCGAGAAAAAAAAAAAAAAAAAAAAACGGTCCAGGACCCTTCCCCATTGAGGAGCCAAGCCCCCAAAATTGTTTTGAGAGTTTTTCAGGCCCGTTTATGCTTTTTTGGGGGGTCCGGACACGCTCTCTCTCTATAATAATTTATTAGACAACCCCAAGTTTTTTATTATGAATAATTCATTACCTTTTATTACTTTTTTTAACTTTTTGAAGTCTTTTTTTAAGCTTTTTATAGTTTTTGACTTTTAACTCAAGTTTGGTTAGGAATTCTGACATGACTCTGAGGCAAAAGTGGTTTGTATTGTTATTCTGCATAACATACTTTTTTTTCAGATTTTTTTTTTTTTTTTTTTTTTTTGGTAAAATTTTTTTTTTTTTTTTTTTTTTTTAAATTTTTTTTTTTTTAGATTTTTTTTTTTTTTTTTTTTTTATGGTCCGGACATTTTCCGGACCTGTCCAGACATCCGAACCGTCCGGATCCCCCCATGTCCGGAGGTCCGGAAATGTACGGAATCCCGGACGTCCGGAAACTACCGGACACGGGTCCGGTTCCATGTCCGGAAATGTCCGGGTCCGGGTCCGGCGTAGCCATGGTAATTAATCAATTACTAATTAATTAATCCTTCATCTTTTTACTTTGTGTTCAGGCAGTTCACGTCTGATTCTGTCATGGAACTCCACAGCATTTCCCATAATTTATTTCTATTTGTAATCGTTATTTAAAAAGAAAATCTGGTCTCTATACTTCTCGTGCAATCATTTCAATCAGTAATTTTGGTTTTCTCCCTTTAGTCTTTTGAATTATTTTTCTAAATGGGTAAGTTGGTTGGAAGGAGAGGTGAGCTTTGCTCTGCAGGGGCTACACAAGGTGGGTAGTGATGTCCTGAAGGGGGTATGAGCAGATTTTGGGGAATACTCTATTCTGGGGCTGAGGGGAGATTTCGAACCTCAGCGGGGGCAGATTAGGGTAAGGGGAAAGCAGAGGCATATTTTGGGTGGGAACTGAAAGCCTCTGGGGGACTGGGGAGGGTGTGGGGCTGTTCTTAGCTGGGGCCGATAAGGAATGTCTGTGATAAAGATATTCTTTTTCCGGCGGAGGCAGCGACGGGACAGGGGGAAAGGGGAGGGTGGGGGGGGATTTTCCATGCTCAATTGTGATATCCATGGAAAAAAAGAAAGTAATCAATCGTGTTATATCCACGTTTTCTGGTGTTCTGTAATTCTTGGCGGCACTTGGCCTTCTTCCTCATTCGGGATATAGGATTTAAGAGATGGTCGAATCCGGGCTGATATCTACGTAGTTGCTTTGTTCTGTGCCCCTGGTATGCCAATGCCAGAACGACGCTGGCCGGAGCTGGGGCGTTGCCCTGTAACCTGCAAACGACAGGAGTGTGATGCCTTGTAGAGAGATCTGGGGATTAGTGGAGGGAGGAAGACAATCCAGTGGTGGACTGGGGGGTGCTAGCAGGACAGCCTATGGGCCCAGGTTTACTCTAGGTGGCGAGAACAGGATAGCTATGGTTGATGTTGGCTAGGATGGCATTGTCTCTGAGATGTAATGTCCTGGCGCAAGGAGGGCTAGCGGTTGTTCTAGGATTAGAAGGCCAGATTTGCTGATATAGCATAGACTTCTAAAAATTTTCAAATAATAATCACCATCATCATTAGCATCATCATCATTAGTATCATCATCTCACATTTCTCATACAATCATTAGAAGTTCATTATCATCATCGTCATCATCATCATCATCAGCATCAGCATCAGCATCAGCATAATCATCATCATATGAGGGACGCTGCGCCCGGTTCTCAGCTTGTTCGGTTCAGTCTCTCCGGGTAGACTGTGAGGACCCCGCCCTCAATCTTCTCATTGGTACTATCAGCCTTGGGCACTGGGCCTGAGAAAAAAAAAAAGAAGAAAAAAAAAAAGGGCATGATGCAAGATCCTTTCACCAATTGTCTGCCTCTGCACAAAAGTCCCGGTAGTTAAGGTGAAGGGGATATTGGTCTGCTTCTACTCTGCATCAAGGAACCATCTCTATTTCAAGAATGCTCCTTGTTGTACATAAAGGAGGAAGTTGATGGCCTTGTTCCAGTGATGATTTGCTTGGCAGGACTGTCAAGCTCGTCTGAATAACTTGGTTTAGGGTCCACTTCTTCAGGTAGATGGGTTAGTTAGACTACTTACTTGAGGCCGAACAACTATCGTCAAGCCCGTCAAAGAGTACTTGAGGGCTGAGTTGTTCGGGTAGACGGGTTGGACTACTTGAGGCCTAACAACAACTATGTTGTCAAGGCAAAATGTTGTGAAGATAAAACTGCTTCAAAAATTTGGATTGAGTGAAATGTTAGCAAGATTTTATTCAGGATGAATATCCCCATGGCTTAACTCTTTCTTTCTTTTTTTTTTCTTTTTTTTTTACCTTTGCGAGGCACAGGCCCTCAATTTGCTTTACAGGGCCTATTTTTCGCTCAGTCGGCTGCCCTAAGTGAAGGCAGGCACGACCGAGGCCCTCAGGCCATTTTTGGGGTCACTACGCAACTGGGGAAATTTCAGGCAGTTGCGCAGCGCCAGTTGGTTGGAAGCACCCAGGCCCAGGATGCCTTGCATTGCATCTAACTGAGGCAGGCCCTGGGCCGGATACACAAAGTGGACCGAACAAAGGCTGAGGGCAGTTGGGTGCTGGTAACCACCACAGGCCCTGGGCCTGTTGACTTCGGATTGAGACTCAGCCTCCCTGGGCCTACCGGAAGCTTCTGGGCCGGGGCCCAATACCGCAGCACAGCACACAGCAGCAGGCCACTTCGATATAGGGAAGGGCCTGCCTACACATTGGTTATTCGGGCAGTGGCTGCTTTGTGTGCAAGCGCTGCTGCGCTATCACCTGCCAGGCTCACGCGCTCATGGGCGAGCTGGAAGGAGGCTGTTGACGTCATCAGCAGCATTGTAGTCTAGGCTAGATAGGATCTGCCATTCGTAGTCTGGGCACCGAGCGCCAAATAGGGTATCAACATTGGTTCTTCGTTGATGATGATGAGACTATTCCAGCATTGCCAATTATGAGGTTTTGGTGTGCTCTTATTTGGTGAAACTCGAGATGCAATTCTGCTTTTGGTTCGCGGTCATGACTATCTGCTCTCATGTGTATGATGCTGTTTGATTGCTGAAGTTCGCTATTGCTCATCTTCCTTGCAATTTGGTATCGGAGCTGTGGTTCAGTGCGCTAATCTGGCGCTTATCTTCTGCCTAATGCGGCACATGCACGCGGTGTGTACGGTGAGTGACCGTGCCGTGGGATGTGTGTAGTGAGGAGGGCGAAGATAAGTAGGCGACCCAGGTGGACAGGGGTTCGCCAGGAAGGCTGTGTGGTGATTATTGGGTGTTCGCAGTGTGATGAGAACTATCCGGTGTGTGATTGATGCTGAGGTGGAACGGTTGCGCAATGCTGGTTGTGCCGAAGCAGCGATTGGTCAGCACAATCAACATTGGGTCATCTGGTGAGAATATCTGTGGTTGGGGGCAGCTATTTTGAGGTACGTTGCACCTAACCTTATCTACCCTCTTCGACACTGCTTACCGTGAGGATGTGTGTTCTGTCTTGAGAGTCCTCTCATGTGAGGAGTCGTGTGCGCTCAACCTTGAGAGTCGTCATCCTTCACGTGGCGCATCTGGAAGGAGAGGGCGGAGCTATCTGAAGGGCCCTGGACGAAGCACAGGGTCACGGTCACCATGCCAACCCACCGGGAGTAGAGCACGCATGCTTTGTTGCTTTATCCTTTGTCTGCTCGCTGCGCTATAGAGGGGTTCTGAAGGGCAGGCCAGCCCTATGGGACAGACGAGACCGGGCGTCTATAAATAAGCACCGGCGGGATACCTTCCATTGGTTGTGAACGTCGTCCTGTTTGCGACGTTAAAGAATTCCTGAGGACTTTGGGGGCCGTCCATAAAAACGCCTCCCGATCAGCCAATTGATCGGTGTAAGGCTCGCTGCACGTGAGGATAAAGACTGTGCAGGGCTGGCCAGATCAGCAGGACTCGGGGCACAGGGGTGGGCCGTGTGCACACCTTCAGACACGCACGCTATCTGGATTTCTCAGGGACGTTGATGACAAGAGACATTCAAGAAGAACTGAGGGAGGGGTAGATTCCAGGTGATAAGTTTGGGCAAGATTCCATTCTGCAAACAGACCCGACAAGCGATTCTATTTCTATCTTTGATTAGTTAGATGTACAGCCATTGACATCTGACAGGCAGCATAGTTTAGAACTGTTTTTTGTTCATTGTGCTTTTGTTTGGAAACTAGTCAAACTTAAAATAGTCTCGTTTGTAGGAACCTGAACTTACCTGTTGGACCCAAATGTATATACTCTCTGACGCAGCCACCAATTAATTAGTTAATTATAAGTCGGTCTGTGCACTACGCTGCGGTAAGCATCAAAAAGTGTCTTAGTGCAGATTGTATACAGTTTTGTAGCTTATGAGCAATAGGGACACCACTAGTGAGGACGACCGGATCTTGCGATCGGCTAGACGCCCGATAGCCCACTTGGCCTTAGGACCAGAGGGTGACAGATTTCTGTTCCGCCAGCTTAGGGAGAGGCAGCAGCAGCAGACGAGAGCTAGGGCAGCAGAGGCCAACAGGGCATTCACAAGTGAAGCCACAACTTTCGCAGTCATGGCAACTTCTGCGCAGCAAAGTTCCCAGGCTAGCAGTTCAGGGACCGTAGGGTCAACGGTCGCGCAGACCATGAGTCAGTCCACTGGCGTAATGGCAAGCCAGCCATTAGTGTTGACTCCCGAGGAAGTCACCATACAACGAGCCGCTGATCGCGAGGCACAACTACAAAAGGCTTTAGGAGAGATTAAGGTCGAAAAAGAAAGAATGATTAGAAGAAGAGTCAGGTTGCAGCGGCGACAAGCGGACATTGGTGAGTTAGAGGAGAAGGACCCAGCGGAGTTGGATAATGAAGTGAGGCCCCTGAGGTCGGTCTTGCTAGGGGTAGTAGAGATGCAAGATCAACAGATGGAGATCTTACAAGACATCCAGCAGAGTCTGGCCGTGTTGGTCGGGTGAGCGCAGGTGGCACCATCACTGTCCGGGCCTGGTGTCTGGCCCGTTGTACATACTCCTCCTTTTGTCCCACCGGTGATTGGGGTATCCCCATATACCGCTTCAGCATCGGTTTAGCCTGTCTCTCTGGGTATGCCTTTAACAGGCGGGTTCTCAGCAGGTCCTAGTTTGTAGGTCCCTGTACAGACAGTGTTCTCCCAACCTCCATCTCAGGTTGCCGTAAGTGGGCAGCCTGATGTCTCGCAGCCTGCACAGCCGCAGGGTTCACAGCCCCACCAGATACAGCATCCTGCACCACAGGGTCCACAGTCCGGAATGGTGCAGGTACTGGGACAAAGTCAGTGGGTTCCAAAGACGGCCATCACCGCTCCTGAACCCTTTACCTTTACAGGGGATAAGAGGGGCAAAGACCTCGACACTTGGTTGAGGGCAGTGCTGGTCTACGTCAAGTGCAAACTTACCTTGTCGCACGAGGAAGTGCTTGTGGCTGCCTCCTATTTAGACGGGAGTGTAGCAAGATGGTTGAGTGGTTTAGTGCAGCTCCAGGGGTACGGTCATGACTTTCACGCTTGGGCAGGCACCCAGAAATTGGATGACTTCCTCAAGTTGGTGGAAGACAGGTGGCATGATCCGCAGGAGGCCCAAAAGGCTACTGACGCGATCCTAACATTGCACATGAGGCAGTTTAAGTCAGTGAGAGAGGTCACTGACGCTGTAGAGCGTCTGATCTATGTCCCTGGGGTTCGCTATGACCCCCAGGTTTTACTCACCTCCTACCTGAGATGCTTCCCTATGCCTCTCAGGAACCAGTTGGCAGGTGAGGCCAACATCAACATGCACAACTTCCCGTCGTTTAGCAAGAAGGCCCTAGACCTGGAAGCAAAGATAGGGCATGGTCAGACACCCACGACGGATGGTAGGAAAAAGACACTGCCTCCCAACTGGAAAGTGAAGAGACGCATTATGTTCGTCAGCAACGATGGTTCTACAATCGAGTTGGACGACGAGTTCCAAGCAGCAGCAGGTTCAGAGGCGGGCAGCGTAGAAGCTTCAGGGGGTGGAGTAGTCGCCGCCGTAGCCCAGAAAGGTAAGGCGACCAGTAGACGCCGTGGAGGTTCCCGGTCTAGAGGTCAAGTTGACCCCGATGCTCCTCCATGGGAGAAAGCGGGTCTTAGTGAGGACGTGTGGAGAGACCGGTACACCCGGCAAGCTTGCATTCGTTGTGGCCAATATGGCCATAACCAATTCAAGTGTCGTAACAGAAAGGTGACCGAGAAGATCCCGCCTACGATGGGGCAGGCGTTGGGATCCTCCGCTCCCGTTGGTAGCAATGTGGCCAGCAGTTCTGACACTGCTCCAGGAAACACGTCGGGCCAGTAGGAATGGTAGTTGTTCCTGCTAGAGTCGAGGTGGTGGACACGCCCTCACCATTTCGAGAGATGGCCCAAGCTACTGACTCCATCATCGTCCCGCAAACACATTATGACCCATCGAGCCTCTTTTCATGAATGTGTTTGAATCCTTAGAGGAGCTAGAGGAGAAGTGGTCTAGATTAGACCCACTAGCTTCTGGGATGGCATTGGCCAAAGCCCCTAAGGGAGAGATGTTCGTCGGCGAGGTATTCATAGGCGGCGGCAAGGTCGGGGCCTATTATGACACTTGCTCGACTAGGAACTTCATCAGTTGCACGTGCGTTGAGAGGTTGCGCTTACAGGGGCAAGTGCAGCGCCTGAGTCGACCTGTGGAGTCGACCTGTGCCAACAAACAGCGCATGGTAGTCAACGACTACCTCCAGGATGTTGAGTGTTGTTTTCCGTACGCGGGAGGGGAATTGAGACATCACGTCTCGTTCCTAGTGAGCGATGATCTCCCTATGGATATCTTGTTAGGTATGTACTACCTCTCTGTGGCACAGCCCCAGTTTGACTGGGACCGAAAAGTGGTCAAACACACTTTGCCAAATGGAGGGACCGCCAGATTACGTACGTTCAAAGCTAGTAGTCTGATCGAGTCCCACGGATGCATGTGTGTGGCCGCGTTCTATAATTATTATAAGCAAAATCCAGAGGAGGGTATGTATCTAGTCTTTGTCTCTGCAGCAGGTGGGCCGGTGAAAATGTCGTTGGAGATAAGGGAGTAGTTGCCAAGTACCCTGATCTATTTGAAGAGCCTACATGGTTGTTGAGAGGGAGGTCGTCCACACAGTAGAGATTATCCCAGGGTCTAGTATCCCGAAGGGTAGGATCTACATGATGTCTCCAGGCGAGCTTGATGAGCTTCGCCAACAACTCAAGGAACTCGTAGAGAAGGGTTGGATCCGACCGAGTGTTTCTCCTTATGGGTCTCCAGTCCTATTACCGAAGAAGGAAGGAACACTTAGGATGTGCATTGACTATAGGGGCCTCAATGCCATCACTGTCAAGAATAGAGAGCCCCTACCGCGCATCGATGACTTGCTAGATAGAGTGCAAGGGTGCCGGTACTTCAGTAAGACAGATCTGAAGTCCGGGTACAATCAGATTGCAATCCGGCCCGAGGATCAACACAGAACCGCATTTCAGACCAGGTACGGTCTGTACGAGTTTGTGGTGATGGCCTGTGCAATGTTCCTAGCACCTTTCAGCACGCTATGAATCGGATATTTCATGACTACTTGGATAAGTTTGTCATCGCATACCTTGATGATACTTATTTTTAGTGGGACTGTCGAGGAGCATGTAGCGCACTTAGACAAAGTCCTCAGTCTCCTTCGGCAGCACAAGTTCAAGATAAATGGGGAGAAGTTTGAGTTTGGCCGCACCCGTATCTTGTACTTGGGTCATGAGATTTCCGCGGAGGGTTTGAAGCCCGATGACACGAAGGTTGTGACTGGCCGCGTCCTCAGTCTGTGACTGAGATGAGGTCCTTCTTAGGGATGACAGGCTACTACCGCAATTTTGTTCAGAATTACAGCATAGCGGTCATCCCTTTGACGGACCTGACTCGCCTTGACACCCAATGGGAGTGGACAGAGGTGTGAGGCTGCTTTGAGACATCTGAAGCATGTGTTGACACACCATGAGGTCTTGAAACTTCCTGATCCTGACAAACCTTTTGTAGTAACTACAGATGTCAGCTAATATGGCATAGGCGCCGTACTTGCACAGCAGGAGGGGAAGAAGTTGAGACCAGTAGAGTACATGTCCAAAAAGATGCCCTCTAAGAAGTTGGCTAAGTCCACCTATGAGAAGGAGCTCTATGAGATCTACAAGGCGCTCACCCATTGGAGGCACTATCTCCTTGGGAGATTCTTCTATGTCAGGACTGATCATCAGACCCTGAAGTGGATGAGAACCCAGCCTGTGCTCTCCGACGCTATGAAGCGTTGGATTGAAGTCATAGAGCAGTATGACTTTGAGCCCCAGTACATCAAGGGCGAGTACAACAAGGTTGTTGACACGCTGTCGCGTAGACCAGATTTCTCCGGTGCGCTGATCACAGAGTTTGGGCTTGCGGACGATGTTACTCACTCTCTGGTGGAAGCCTACCGCGAGGATCAGTTTATGTCCGAGATCATTCGCAGACTCGAGGCGAATGACAAAATTACTTCTTTCGAGTTTGAGTTGGTCAACGGTCTGCTATTCCTTGAGAAGGCCTGGAATAAACGTTTGTGTGTTCCCAATAGGGAGTTTTTGCGTAGTTTGTTTTTAGGTGAGTGTCATGATGCCACCGGATATTTTGGCTTCAAGAAGACTGCAGCCAATCTGCTGCAGCGGTTCTGGTGGCCCATGATGATGAGAGATGCCAAGCTGTACGTGGAGACTTGTCAGGTCTGTCAAAGAGACAAGCCCTGTACACAGGCCCCTCTTGGGCTCCTCAAGCCCCTTCCGATACCGGAAAGGCCCGGTGAGAGCCTGTCCATGGACTTCATGGACACACTGGTCACCAGCAAGAGTGGAATGAGACACATCTTTGTCATTGGGGATAGGTTTAGTAAGTATGCCAGGTTAGTTGCAATGTCTGAAACAACAAAGACTGAGTACGTCATTAGACTATTGAAGGAGAACTGGGTCAGAGATTTTGGATTACCAAAGTCTATCGTGAGTGACCGAGATGTCAGGTTCACTAGCGAATTGTGGAAGGCTGCAGCTGCAGAACAGGGGACACAGCTGCAGATGACCTCTGGGAACCACCCAGAGGCCAACGGCCAAGCAGAGCAGCTGAATCGCGTTGTACAACACCTGCTGCGGCATTACATCAAGCCCAACCAGGTGGACTGGGATGAGAAGCTTGCTCTCATCACCAGTTTGTGCAACAACGTTGTGCACAACGCCACAGGGGTGAGCCCTAACAGTCTACCACTAACTTTCAAGCCTAGACTGCCCCTGGACTTTCTATTACCTGAGAACCAGCAAACTGCTGCACCGGGTACACTAGAATTTGCTTATCGAGATTAACAAATGGTGCAGCAGGCAGTGGAACAAATGCAGAAAGCACAGGCGGCAATGATAGAGTCTGAGAACAAACACCGCCGCCCGTCCACATTTCAGGTAGGGGAGTCTGGGTCAAGTCCTCAGAACTGGGACAGGAGCACGGAATCTCCCGTAAGCTCAAGCCACAGTACTTTGGACCATGGGAAGTTTTAGATGTCGTTGGGGATGAACCGGATGGTCCTTATCTTGTTCGCATCCCTGGTCACCTACGCACATATCCGGTATTTCACGCCTCAAAGCTTGCACCGTCCAGAGAAACTGATTAGTTTCCCTCTCGTCGCTCTATCATGCCCCCAACCATGGATGGAGAGGTTGACATCGACGACATCGTTGATCATAGGGAGATGCCAGTTCCAAGACCGACAGGCAGAGGACATCCTCCGAAACCGAAGCTGCAGTACAGAATTCGGTTCAGACATCACATGGATCCAAAGGAGGATCGATGGTTCACCAGGGAGGAACTGATGCAGACCGCTTCTGTTACATACTTCAATGAGTATGGGCAGAACCAAAGATCAACCAATGTAGGATGAGCATATATGCAGCGGAAGTCTGATAAACAGACTGATTCACATAGAGTGACTCACATAGCATCACTCCACACACATACAATCGTGAGATGGTGGGGTCTGAGCCATACAAAGAAGGTGCTCAGCCCCGTACACAACATACACAGATGAATGGGGGAGGAGAGACGAAGGAGGTGGGGCAGGTAGACAGCACTGAAAGTCATCGAGATAGAATCTGATAGGTCACCGATATGGTAGTCCAAAATGTCATCCAACAAGATCAAAATGTCGAGGACAATAGGTCACCAATGTCGGAG